TCTTATCTCTCCACACATTGACTCTACATGAGTAAACTCTCCAAAACTTATTCCATTTTTTTACTCTCCGCTGACTGATTCTACACGAAAGGATTCTCCAATATTGAATAATACGAAAATTTTTTGATCCACTTTTTGTCTCTCCACAAATCGACTCTACACGAGTAAACTCTCCAAAATTTATTTCAATTTTTTTTACTCTCCACTGACTGATTCTACACAAAAGGATTCTCCAATCTTGAATAAAAAAAAAATTTTTTTGATCCATTTTTTATCTCTTCAAACATCGATTCTAGACGAATAAACTCTCCAAAACCTATTTCAATTTTTTTTTATCTCCGCTGACTGATTGTACACGAAAGGATTCTCCAAACTTGAATAAAAACTAAAAATTTTTTATCTCTTCAAACATCGACTCTACACAAGTAAACTCTCCAAAACCCATATCAATTTTTTTTTACTCTCCACTGATTGATTCTACATGAAAGGATTCTCAAATCTTGAATAAAAAAAAAATTTTTTTGATCCATTTTTTATCTCTTCAAACATCGATTCTAGACGAATAAACTCTCCAAAACCTATTTCAATTTTTTTTTATCTCCGCTGACTGATTGTACACGAAAAGATTCTCCAAACTTGAATAAAAACTAAAAATTTTTTATCTCTTCAAACATCGACTCTACACAAGTAAACTCTCCAAAACCCATTTCAATTTTTTTTTACTCTCCACTGATTGATTCTACATGAAAGGATTCTCAAATCTTGAATAAAAACGAAAATTTTTTGATTTATTTTTTATCTCTTCAAACATCGATTCTAGACGAATAAACTCTCCAAAACCTATTTCAATTTTTTTTTATCTCCACTGACTGATTGTACACGAAAGGATTCGCCAATCTTGAGAATTAAGTTTTGGAGAGCTTACTCGTGTACAGTCGATTTCTGGAGCGATAAAAAGAGGAACTAAAACTTTAAGATTTTATTAAAGATTGACCAATCCTTACGTGTAGAATCAGTCAGTGGAGAGTAAAAAAAATTAAAATAGATTTTGGAGAGTTTATTCGTGTAGAATCGATGTTTGAAGAGATAAGAAAAGGATCAAAAAATTTTCGTTTTTATTCAAGATTGGAGAATCATTTCGTGTAGAATCAGTCACTGAAGAGTAAAAATAATGGAAATAAATTTTGGAGAGTTTACTCGTGTAGAGTCGATTTGTGGAGAGATAAAAAGTGGAACTAGAACTTCAAGTTTTTATTGATGATTGGAGAATCCTTTCATGTAGAATCAGTCAGTGGAGAATAAAAAAAATTGAAATAAATTTTGGAGAGTTTACTCGTGTAGAGTCGATGTTTGAAGAGATAAAAAATGAATAAAAAGTTTTTAGTTTTTATTGAAGATTGGAGAATCCTTTGGTGTAGAATCAGTCAGCGGAGAGTAAAAAAATGGAATAAGTTTTGGAGAGTTTACTCATGTAGAGTCAATGTGTGGAGAGATAAGAAATTGAAATAAAATTTCAAGTTTTTATTGATGATTGGAGAATCCTTTCATGTAGAATCAGTCAGTGGAGAGTAAAAAAAAATTGAAATGGGTTTTGGAGAGTTTACTCGTGTAGAGTCGATGTTTGAAGAGATAAAAAATGAATAAAAAGTTTTTAGTTTTTATTGAAGATTGGAAAATCCTTTGGTGTAGAATCAGTCAGCGGAGAGTAAAAAAATTGTATCCAGCTTTGGAGAGTTTCTCTGCGTAGAGTCAGTTCGCGTAGGATTCTAACTTTGTAATTTATTTAGTTTTGTAGAGTTTTGCTGTGTAGAGTCAGTCTGTCAAGAATCAAATATCTAACCCCTTTTTACTTATTATATTATACAGTAACTCTGTGTAGAGTCCGTCAGGTGAGAGTAAGATTGCGTTTAGAGTATTCATTTGTATAATCCACCATGTAAAATCGGTCTTTGAAGAATCGGAAAAGGTTGAACTGAGTCCCTGCCCAATGTTTATCTATATTCATATTATGTGATTATTACTTTTATTGAAACGTCCACTACACTTAAAGTTAATTGAACTACTCATTTTAATACAAAATCTTCAATAAGTTAAACATAGATACCCGGGTGCCTCGTCCGCCCATAGAAGGTCCCATAAAGATTAAAAAAAATAACAAGGTTCCCACCATATCTTTGTTTCAAAATTCACTGACTATTACTGACCAAAAATTTTTTTCCTGATGTTTTGCAAGTTTTATTTTGCAATAAGGTAGCAAAATAAGAATAAAAAATGTTCAATTAGTAAAATAAAGTATGCCTTTTATAGAATTAAAAAATGTACTTTTATAATACTGTAAAATAGTAAACTTTTTTTTCATTTTTTTTCTATTTCAGTATTATTATTATCCATTGTTTTTCTGTCTTTTAAAATTTTTCAAGTTTCTGCTCTTTTCCTGTTTTTTTCTTTGTCGTTAAGTGCAAATACAGTGTTATCTCTTTCATATTCTCTGATTTTGCCTGACTGGTAGGCACCCTGAATAAAAAGTTTTAAAAAATTGATGAATTGTTGACATGAAGAACATATTTTTTGGGATTATAAACAATTAGAAAATTATTAAACACTATGAAACTAGAATTATCAATCTCGCCCTGCTAAAAATAAAATCACAAAACGTCAAAAAATTAGTCAGGATCTCTGACGTTTTGAGACTGTTTTTGTTACGATTGCAGTCACAGAACACCACAATAAGTGAGGTTTAGTCAAAGAATTGTCAATAGTAGTCAGATTTTTTATGAGGGTCAGAGACCCTTTTTTTTGGCCATACCATAAATCATTAAACCCTGTGACTATTTGTGATGTTAAATGACATTTCTTTCTATAAAATAGTTTTGAAGATTCCTGACTTACTTCTCATGAATTCTGACTACAAATATTTAAAAATTAAAAAAAATCAATATTTTATCATTAAAAAAATAAATTATCGCACAACATTTTTTTATCTTTACGTTACACATACTTAATTATTATTTTTACAATTTATTATATTTATTTACTCCTATCGAAGAAAATCTCGCAAACGCAGGGAATCGAACTCACAACCTAACGAACGCAAACCGAATACCTAACCCCTGAGCTAAACTAACCTAACTGAGATCTTAAAAATAGAATACGGTTTTATGAAAATAGAAGATCTTATTACTTTTTTTCAATTTTATCAACATATTTTGTTGATAATTATTATTTTAAAAAAATTTTATAATTTTTAAAAATTAACAAGTAAAGTTAAAATAGGTATATTGTTATATTGATCAAAAAACATTTGTAGTCCAATTATCATATATTAATGTATTCAATTAATAAAATTTGCTTCAGCAAATATTTAATTAAACAAAAAATTCGTATGTAAATATTATTTGAATTCGAACTTAAAAGAATATGTGTAATATACAAATAAAATAGTCTAGAATAATAAGATACTGTCGGATTGTCTCAAGTAAACTCTGAGCGAATTTTATCAGGTTTTTCGCTCACGTTTTAGCACATTCATTACTATTATAATTAATTATAATGATAAGAATTAATTAATATGCATATATTAATTACTATATTATTAAAATTCAATTTAACATAATTCTTCCACAAATCAACTAAATAATTACTAATTTTAATTTCTCTTTTTAGCATACTGCACTATAATTAGATGTAATATTTGGTTCAAATCAAATTTATATTTAGTGAAAACTGGATCAAATTCGCTCAGAGATTGATTGAGCGATCAATTCATATATTCTATTTTACAAGAGACCAGAATGTTTTTGCTCATCTAGTTGTAAAAAAATAAACTTTTATGTGAAATCGCCAGCGATTTCTAATTTTTTTCAAATATATATATAGAGTTAACACAATGGTAAGAATAGGTTTTCAACATATGTTGCTTTCTTATAACTAAATGTAAGGAAACTAGCTTACTGTAAAATAATAAATACAAATTTGAAGTAGGGACTTTAAAAGTATAGTCGTAGTCATTGACGCCTTCCCTTTTCTGTCCTTATCTTACAAACGTGATTCCATATATATTATATGTACGTTAGAAAAGGACAAAAAGAAAAGTATAGGCCTAAAGGATCTTTTATGGTTTTATGGCTTTTCATTGCAAAATTAAAAATTGTTGCATGTGAAAAAAATAATTTTTAAATATTATATTCGTAATGTACATGTTAATACAATTACAACGATATAAAATTTTTTTGCAAATATTTTTAAATTATTGAGAATTAATTTTAATTAATGGAGTATTTATTGTATAATCATTATGTAATTTTAGAGTTTTTACATAATGTTTTATATCATTGGAATCGTTAAAATCTATAAATTACAAATATAACATTTAAAAAAATATTTATTTAAATTTAAATAATTTTTTATTTTGCATTAAAAAGTCATAAAACCTGATGGACCCTCGAAAGGACCCTTCTATTGGAAAAAGGGAATATATAATATAATAGAGTTATATGGTGGGTTTGAGTGGCCTTGGTACCTCTCTTGGAACCCTTTTTACAAAAAAAATGAAACGTAGTGAGAAATAGTCACTTTTTAGAAAACGTCAGGCCCATAAAAAGTATTTAAGTCAGAATTAGTCAGCAGCATCACAAAACATCAAAATAGTCTCAAAACGTCAGGATTTCTGACGTTTTGAGACTGATTTCTGATTTTATTTTTAGCAGGGCGAATATGTTTGGCAATCGTAGAAGAACTTTTTAATAACAAAAATTCCCTTTTCAATTTGTTCATATTAATTTTCTAACAAAATTATTAATATATCGATAAATTCATCTATATTTTTAAAATACTTTTAAAAGTTGATGTCTAATTATATATTGAAACAATTTTCTCATGCAAAACATATCTATGATGCCGGATATTCTTTTAAGTGAGTGTATGTGTGAAATTTTTAGCAGTATTTCTAAATAATAATGTTATATACATTTGTTATTTTAACAGAAAAATTTTGTACTTACACTTAAACATTGCATGGCAGTACCAGCTTGGTGTTGAAAAGCCATTTTCGCACACATTTTGAAAACGTTGATTTTTTCAGGACGTACATAAAAATTAGTCTGAATTTATATCAAATTTTACAATAAATGAAATTACTTGTCACTGCCACTATCGTATATACACAGACTTCAACACTCTTCTTGAGGAGATTGGTAGACCGGAATTCTTTCGTGAACTCAAGTTTTCCAAAACAAACACATGCGTAATCGTCAGCGATAAGAAAGTACAGTCAGGATCGTATTTAGGGTTAGGCTGCTGTCCCATGTGGGTGAACAATGCGGAAGCTTCTATGCGCCACCACTAAAGGCCTAATGCTGATTCTTACGGAAGCCTGTACGGCTCACGAGCGTCTCGGACGCAAGTGGCGGTGTTTCGTACCACAAGTGGCACGAAGTCCATCCAACGTTCGTTAGTTCGTGCCACTTGTTGGACAGACTTGTAACGAGCGACTATATACGGAAGCCTGTACGGCCCACGAGCGTCTCGGACGCAAGTGGCGGTATTTCGTACCACAAGTGATTAATTAATCTTGATTAATCTTAAATATTCATAAAAATATACTTTTGATTTTAAAAAATAAAATCCTCTTCATATATTTTAAATTAAAAAATGACATCATAACCAAAAAATCTTATTTTTATTCTAAACTAAGAAAAATTAAAAAAACTAAGAAAAAACTTCCGCTTAATTCTTAGTGGAATCCTTAGTTTATTAATATGTATATTTACGTTTGGAAGGAGTATTTATGTGTGAACTATAAAAAGTTTGTTCGATGACATTTACTAATATGCTAATATTACTAATATCTTATAAAATTCATTTCTTCTTCTTTAAGGCCTAAGCAGAATAGCTTTGCGAAAGACGTTCGCGAACGTGAAACATGAGTTAGAAAAAGACAGAGATATATTCGTATCCTTTTCTATCTCATGCATCTCGTTCGCGAACGACTTTCGCGCGAACCTATTGTGCGTTGGCCTTCACATGAAATTGAAATGAAAAGCACTGAAGGTCTTTCTCCAATAGGAACCTAAACTTTTGCGTTGCGTGACTGACGCGTTGATTTTAGCATTGGTTGCCAATAGCAACCGACGCAATGCATACGCAACGCAAGAGTTTAGGATCCTATTGGAGAAAGGCCTTGACAGATTGGCGATTCAAACAGCTACACTAGCGCCACAGTTGAACTAATTTAGGCGTGACTCGCTCTAAAGCAGTCTCTGTTTTGACAGTTTATTTCAAATTATTTAATTATTCTGATATTTTTATTGCGTTTGTAAAATTATTTTTAAGCGTTAAATAAAAAAAAATAATTTAAAACACATGGAGTGCTACAGAGCGAGTCACGCCTAAATTAGTTCAACTGTGGCGCTAGTGTAGCTGTTTGAATCGCCAATAGCAACAGGATCCAACGGAATTGTCATATTTGTGAATGACCCTTCAAAAAATCCACTTTCCACAAGTGGCATGGAGTCTGTCCAACAAGTGGCACGAATTAACGAACTTGCCACAAGTTGGACGGACTTTGTGCCACTTGTGGTACGAAACACCGCCACTTGCGTCCGAAACGCTCGTGAGCCATACAGGCTTCCGTAACTATATTCTCGCTCGAATTACTTTTCGATATCTCGAACTAACGAGATATCATTGCGCTAAATTTAAATATTAAATTGTTAAACAATTAAGTTAACATAACATTTTATTATTTTACTTCTTCTAAAGGAAAATATAAAGATGTTTTTAAAAAGCATGACGAATGAAAAATAATTCCTTCACGCTTTAATACTTCTCAAATTCTCGTTTGAGTATCTCAATAATATAAACAGTTCTCAGAATTCTCGTAAATAAAGTAAAATAGAAAAGAAAATATAATTCTAAAACTTTCCTTCACTCTGAAATATAAACCCAGTAAAAAAGGATTTTTTGAGATAGCAGTTCGGACAATTGAGCAAGCCGTTTGCTCAATTGCCTAAAGGCGCTTGTACACCTCACAAACTCCAATGGCGCAACGTAAAAAGTATTTCATAGCGGATATTTTATCTATTGTTTGACCAGTACGTGACTTTTCTCGATTTAGCGAGTTGTCTGTATCTGGTCAACATGTGTTTAGTGTCCCATGGAGAAAGGTTTTATAACGTTTTCAAGTGGTATATTTTTTATGATCTTTTAAGGGTTTTCCAGTAAAAAAGGATTTTTTGAGATAGCAGTTCGGACAATTGAGAAAGCCGTTTGCTCAATTGTCTAAAATGCATTCGTTTGTTCAATTGTCCAATGCATTATGCCCAATCATCCGCCATATTTCTCGTGTCTAAAAAGCTGCTAAAATAATATGAAAAACTATTGAAACATTAAAAAAACAGTAGAAAATGCATAATTCTTGATATATACAGAAAAAGAAAGTATAAAAATACCTCGATCGAAGAAAAGGAAAGAGTTTTCCGAAAAATCACTTTTTAACTGACAGTATACTGCTGTACTTGACATTTTATGGGTAAAGAAGAGAAGATTATGATAATGAGTGACACTTCATTATCGACTCTCAATATTTGTCGAATGGTAAAATATAATGATATTTCTATTCATTCTTAAATTATATATATATATATTTTATTTCTAACAATTTTTAAAATTTTATCTATTTGATGTATAATTATAATATATAGGTATTATAATACATAATATAAATAATATTAATATAATATTATTAATTAATAATAATATATAATTATAAATATACTTATGTACTAAATAATTTCAAATAATTAAATTAATTTTAAATAATTAAACTAATTTTTAATTTAATTAATTTAATTAAAATTTAAATAAAAATATTTAAATTAGTACTAAAAAAATATAAACATATAATAAAAACATAACAATAAATGAAATATAAAAGTAAGAAAATTTTTAATTCAATTAATTCAATAATAATTATTCCTTTTTTAAAAAATCAGAAAGAAATCTAATATTATATTTTACCATTCGACAAATATTGAGAGTGGATAATGAAGTGTCACTCATTATCATAATCTTCTCTTCTTTACCCATAAAATGTCAAGTACAGCAGTATACTGTCAGTTAAAAAGTGATTTTTTGGAAAACTCTTTCCTTTTCCTCGATCGAGGTATTTTTATACTTTCTTTTTCTGTATATATCAAGAATTATGCATTTTCTACTGTTTTTTCAATGTTTCAATAGTTTTTCATATTATTTTAGCAGCTTTTTAGACACGAGAAATATGGCGGATGATTGGGCATAATGCATTGGACAATTGAACAAACACTCCAATTGTCCGAATGTATTTTAAGGCGCTTGTACACCTCACAAATTCTTAGTATCCTCGGAATTTGTCAGAGGTTTCACTAACTTTGATTGGCTTTGCTCATAGAGAATTTCGAAATTTCCCTATCTTTTGGAAATTCTCGATGAGCAAGGCCAATCAAAATTAGTATAACTTTTGACAAATTCCGAGTATACTTAAGGCGCTCTCACACCTTTTTGGCTGCCTGCAGGTTACCATGGCAACGCACGAGTGTGAGTGAGACAGAAAATTTGAATATTCAAATTTTTAAATTTTCTGTCGCACTCACTCTCATGCGTTGCCATGGTAACCTGCAGGCAGCCAAAAAGGTGTGAGAGCGCCTTAAGTATACTCGGAATTTGTCAAAAGTTATACTAATTTTGATTGGCCTTGCTCATCGAGAATTTCCAAAAGATAGGGAAATTTCGAAATTCTCTATGAGCAAAGCCAATCAAAGTTAGTGAAACCTCTGACAAATTCCGAGGATACTAAGAATTTGTGAGGTGTACAAGCGCCTTAAAATACATTCGGACAATTGGAGTGTTTGTTCAATTGTCCAATGCATTATGCCCAATCATCCGCCATATTTCTCGTGTCTAAAAAGCTGCTAAAATAATATGAAAAACTATTGAAACATTGAAAAAACAGTAGAAAATGCATAATTCTTGATATATACAGAAAAAGAAAGTATAAAAATACCTCGATCGAGGAAAAGGAAAGAGTTTTCCAAAAAATCACTTTTTAACTGACAGTATACTGCTGTACTTGACATTTTATGGGTAAAGAAGAGAAGATTATGATAATGAGTGACACTTCATTATCCACTCTCAATATTTGTCGAATGGTAAAATATAATATTAGATTTCTTTCTGATTTTTTAAAAAAGGAATAATTATTATTGAATTAATTGAATTAAAAATTTTCTTACTTTTATATTTCATTTATTGTTATGTTTTTATTATATGTTTATATTTTTTTAGTACTAATTTAAATATTTTTATTTAAATTTTAATTAAATTAATTAAATTAAAAATTAGTTTAATTATTTAAAATTAATTTAATTATTTGAAATTATTTAGTACATAAGTATATTTATAATTATATATTATTATTAATTAATAATATTATATTAATATTATTTATATTATGTATTATAATACCTATATATTATAATTATACATCAAATAGATAAAATTTTAAAAATTGTTAGAAATAAAATATATATATATATAATTTAAGAATGAATAGAAATATCATTATATTTTACCATTCGACAAATATTGAGAGTCGATAATGAAGTGTCACTCATTATCATAATCTTCTCTTCTTTACCCATAAAATGTCAAGTACAGCAGTATACTGTCAGTTAAAAAGTGATTTTTCGGAAAACTCTTTCCTTTTCTTCGATCGAGGTATTTTTATACTTTCTTTTTCTGTATATATCAAGAATTATGCATTTTCTACTGTTTTTTTAATGTTTCAATAGTTTTTCATATTATTTTAGCAGCTTTTTAGACACGAGAAATATGGCGGATGATTGGGCATAATGCATTGGACAATTGAACAAACGAATGCATTTTAGACAATTGAGCAAACGGCTTTCTCAATTGTCCGAACTGCTATCTCAAAAAATCCTTTTTTACTGGAAAACCCTTAAAAGATCATAAAAAATATACCACTTGAAAACGTTATAAAACCTTTCTCCATGGGACACTAAACACATGTTGACCAGATACAGACATAACTCGCTAAATCGAGAAAAGTCACGTACTGGTCAAACAATAGATAAAATATCCGCTATGAAATACTTTTTACGTTGCATTCTAAATTCACATAAACAATATTAGAATACAATCATCATCTACGAATATATAGTATTAAACAATATGTAATAATGTATGCGTATGTATGCTTGTATATGTGTAGAAATGTATATGTATGGCTTTTATATAATAATAATAATTAATCATATTCAATAATTAATTATTATAAATTTTTTATAGTTACTATT